GAGGGTATGATGGGAAGATAGTGGAATAATGTGATGGAATCACTACAAAAAAACACGCGTTTAGTCACGGACCGTAGTCACGGATTTGGTCCGTGACTAGTTTTGTCACGGACTAGTCACGGATATTTAAAAAAAATTAGTCACGAATCTGGCCGTGACTATGACCGTGACTGAAGTTAGTCACGGTCCGATCCGTGACTAAAATGGTCCGATAGCTCCGATTCCATTTCCGGCGTGGCTTGTTTTACTCCGGCGACTTAGTCACGGACAGGTCCGTGACTAAGTCCGTGACTATGAATAAAATTTAATTTTCCAATTCCCAGAAATTATTCCGCAAAGGTATTCTGTACGGATAAACTTGGTCACGGATATGTCCGTGACTAATGCCGTGACTACGTTGAATGACACGTCATTTACACGTCATTAACACATGTTGGACGCGTAATGGCCATGGTTTTGCTTAGTGACGGACAAATCCGTGACTAAGTCCGTGACTAAATTTTCTATATATGCAAGACCAGCAGCTCATTCAACAGAACCACACCAATTCATTCCCAGTATATACATCATCTGTTTGAAATATCGAAGGATGTAGTCTATCTTCTATCATTTTCCCTGTTTATGCAGATAAGGTATGTTATTTGAATTATTATTTTTATTTAGAATTAGTTGGTTCAATTTAAATTATTAAAACTATTAAATTAGTGAGGTTGTTAATTAATTAACAACATATTTAACTATAAGCGTAGTAATGTCATAAAATGAGTTAAATTTTTAGGTATATAAAATAATTTAATTAAAATTAGTTAGCTAAACGTAGTTTTAAACGTAATGATGTGTTAAGTGAAATTAGTTAGTTAAACGTACGTTAGTAATGTGTTAAGTGAATTGTGAATTGTTATTGGGTGAATTGTGTATTATTTATTAATTCAAATGACTTTATATACATGCTCAAATTATTGGATTTGGTCATATTATTTAATTTAGTGAATTGCGGAATTGTGTATTTCTAATAAGATTAAATGTCATTAACGTAATAATTTAGTGTAGGTTTAAACGTAGGTTTAAACGTAGGTTTACAAAAATAATTTAATTAAAAATAGTTAGCTAAACGTAGGTTTAAACGTAGCTAGTGATGTGTTAATTAAGTTAAATTAGTTAAATTAAAAGCGGACGAAATGAACTAGTTAAATTTAGTTAAAATTAACTAAATGAATTAGTTAAATTTAGTTAAACGTAGGTTTAAATTACTTAAATTTCTTACAATATTAGTTAAATTTAAGTATTAGGTAATTACTTATATTTTGTGCATTATTGTTGTGAATTGTGTGCATTTCATTTAATTTAGTGAAAATTAGTTAGTTGATTATTTAGTGAAATAAATTATTTAAAATTAGTTAAACGTAGTATTATTGTTACATTAATTACCTTAGTTTTGAACGTGTATGATTTTTTATTATAATATTCAGGCATAATGTATAAACAAAATAGAAGTTGGATGTATGATAAAGATGCGGTATTGTACGGAATGCAATCAAATTTTCTGGATGGAGTCGGGGAATTTATTGAATTCGCACTTGAACATCCGGCTTATATGAGTGGTGATAAAATAAGATGTCCAGGGTGGTGGCAACCGAGAAGGCCAGGGTGGAGGCAACCGAGAAGAAGAAGAGACCGAAGAAGATTATCTATATGATGATTCTAGATATTATCATAATGGTGGCCGGAGGAGCTTGTAAATGAATAAATGATATACATTTTTTTTATTGAACATTGTTTATTTATATTATAATTGTGGTGTGTTTATTATTACTTTCATTTCAGTCTGTTTGGGGATGAAATGTGTATCTGTTTACTACTTTTATTCTACAATTATTTTTTTAAAATAAACTTTTCTGGAGAAAATTTGAAAAATATTTTCAATTTTTTTTAAAACAATTTTTTTTAAAAAAATAAAAAAATGTAGTCACGAATCTAAGCCGTGACTAAATTGTAGACCGAATTTTTTTAATTTTTTTTAAATTTAAAAATGTTTTTTTTAAATAAAAAACGTAGTCACGGATACAATCCGTGACTAAATTTTGAATTTTGAAAATTTAAACCCTGAATTTTTGGCGGTTTATTTTTGAAATTTGAAACATTAATCACGGATTGGTCCATGACTAATATTAGTCACGGATAGAGGCCGTGACTAAGTCACCGGTGTGGTTATTCCGGTCACAATTTTGTCACGGATAAGGTCCGTGACTAATCCGTGACTACGCTTAGTCACGGAAAAACGGGACGGGACTAGCATAGTTAGTCACGGATTTTTTATACTATCGTCCGTGACTAAATCCGTGACTAACTCCGTGTTTTTTGTAGTGAATGTACGATAAATCCAAAAAAAATAGTTGTAATAGTGTATTTTTTTTAGAATTATTGAGGGTATGATGGAAGATTTAGAAGTGGGAAGATTTTTTTTGTTACGGAAGAAAAAAGAAAGTGAGAAGATTTTTTTGTTACGAAGGGAGTATTCAATTACAAATAGAGCAATGATCCTGCCCAGCCGGAGGGACAGGATCTTCCGTCCGGCCGCCGCCGTTTGGGCGGTTCCCGGTGGAGTTTTTTTATGAAATTTTTACGGAATGTTCCTCATCAAGTCTAGTTTATCCTCACAAGAATTCAGCTAAAAATTCGATCGGAAAGGCAGTCAGATAATTTTTTGAAGTTAACTGCGCCAAATTAAACATATAAAACGCAATTATGTTTCAAAAAATTATTTGACTGTCTTCACGATCGAATTTTTAGCTGAAATTTTTTGTGGATAAATTAGACTTGATGAGGAACATTCCATAAAAATTTAATAAAAAAACTCCACCGGGAACCGCCCCAAACGGCGGTGGCCGGACTGAGGATCCCGTCCCTCCGGCTGGAGAGGATCTTTTCCGTGTACAAATCAATATGTATATATATATATATATATATATATATATATATATATATATATATATATAAGAGGAACTTTTTAAGAGCATACAAAGCGCAACATAATCCTGCCATGTCATTATATATATTAATTATTTAGTTAATTTGTACCTTCTATGTTTATTAGCTAGATTCTATTTTTGATTGCATATTGATATGAAAACAAAAATCCGCAGAAAGTACTATATTAAACAGGCTCTATTTTAGGCTAAGTTTATATATGAAAACATATAAACTACGTATTAAATTTCTATGAATATCCATCTTCATAAGATTATATTAAACGTTTAAAATCGGGTTCATAGCAATAATATTTACTCGAGATGCTTATGTAGAAGATCAATTTAACTATTTTTCATATAATCTTTTTCTGGCTTCACAAATGGAATATATTTTACATATTTTTTCATGATTCCACTCATTTAGCTCATTCAGTCATAATTTAATCAATTTGAGTAAAATAAGTTAATTCAATTTATTTTAGTATTATCAAACAGGCTCTATATTAGACTAAGTTTATTTTTTTTTTAAATCAAATTACATATGATCCGAAAGAAATCAAATTTTAATTAGCTAAATTACATCTGCTCGTGCATCGCACGGGCTTGAAAGCTAGTATATACATAAGTTTAAAATACTTATGCCTCGAAGGGATGAAGAGGGCCTCGACTCCTCCAATATTTTATAATTTATGTACAAATATACATAAGTTAGAAATGTACTTCTACATGTAAAAATATTAAGTTTTGACTCCGGCCAAATAATTCCCATAAGCTTTGTTCCCTTTTATATCATATTTTTGATTCCGCCACGAGTACAAAACTTCAAATAGGGGTGGGCAAAAAATCCCGGTTCCGGTGTTCCAAACCGAAAAATCCCGATACCGTTCCGAAATTATCCCGATCCATTTAGGACATTATTATTTCATCCCGAACCGGTTCCGCATCGATATTAACCGGGACGGGACCGGGACAGCTATAAAATATCATGTCCCGTCCCGATGTCCCGTTTGAAATTAATATGTTATTTTTAAATTTCTAAGGCTATGTAATAGTCAAGTCGCATTAAAACTTTCTAGTCCTCAGTCTCCCTAGTATAATTTTATCTTTTTTCATGTCTCTTTTAGTCTCTCTTCTTTTGTTTCTTTTGATTAAAATTTGTTTAGTTCTCATTCCAATACTAATTCATAATACATTATTACGTGCGGAATATAATTTATGATGGAACAACTACTACTCCAAATTATAGTGTTGTTATAGATTTATTATTTTCCAAAATAACTACTAGAAAATATATATATATATATATATATATATATATATAGTGTCTTTATAGATAAGATATTTAATTTAATGTGGTATTGAAAAATTACAGGTGTACTACAAAGTATAAAATTATTTTGCGCTGCTATTCTACTAGAGGAAACACAAGATTAGGGGGACCAAAAAAAATTACAAGACAAAAATTAAAAATAGTTAATTAAAGGATTTGCTTAACTTTTTAGGGAAGCTAAATTTGCAAAAATAGTTACGTCTTTATTTTGATGTTATGCTTATTTTTATATCACATTTCACAAATGCATATTTTTTATGGGACATCCCGAACTATCCCGGTTTTTCTCAGGTTGTCCCGGTCCCGTTTTAAAAGGGACAACATTAGGATAAAGACTTATCTCGTACCGGAGCGTTATTATAAAACCGGGACGGGATAGGGACAAGTCAAATCCCGGACCGTCCCGGACCGTGCCCACCCCTAACTTCATATTAACACACATATATGCACATTATGACTATTAAGCATATACTTCGTATATTTTTGGGAAAACTGTCAAATAGGTCCTCGAACTTTCATAAAAAAGTCAATTAAGTCCTTCTATAGGAGACTTTGTCTGGCCGTCGCGATTTGGGACGGTTCCCGGTGGAATTTTTTGATGAAATTTTTTGAGCATCTTATTCACCAAGTCTAGTTTACTCATACCAAATTTCAGCTAAAAATTCAATCGGGAACACATTCAAATTAATTCTTGAAGATAACTGCTCATTTTTCCGTTCTCGAATTAATTTGAATGCGCTCCCGATTAAAATATATTTTTTATTCTTTTGCCCATAAGTATAGGGAGTAGATTTTGTATTTCTTTTTGCATTTTCATTTAAAAGCACTACACAATGCAAGTGAAAAATATTACTAAGAAAACAAAAGAAAAAGAAACAAGGAGATAGAGAGAGAGAAAGAAGAGGGAAGAAGAGAATTACAAGTATCTGCAGTATTCCTAAAGTCATCAGGGCCTTCTAACCTAATATAGTCATACATGACACCTGTCCAAGGGCTGGAGACTCCTGTCTGTGTAAGAAAGATGATGTTCCTGCCTTGAACAAGCCCTGTTCCCGCTATTCTAAAACTGAAGAGCCAATACAGCCCATGAATCCCATGTCTTGCTATGGCATTGTCGCCACCAATGAGCCCAGTTGTAAAATGTGGGGGTTGCACCTCTCCATCATTGACACGCACCTTTGGAATGGTTGGCAAGAACAGTGATAATGTAAGACTCATAGAGCATGCAAATTCCAAAATGCACATGATCAAACGAAAGCTTGATTGACACAGCCAAATAAGAACTGTTTCAACAAGTGCAAAGTCATAGCAATTTTCAATTGCAGATGTAAAAGAAGTGTCAATTACTATCTTTCAGAAACTATGCGAAACATCATATTTTTAAAAAACAAAAAAAAAAAAGGAAAAGATGAGGATTGTACCTGTAGTTCTGCTTCTTCGGCGGACGCCAGTGCCAGCTGGAGCGTGTAATATGATGCTCTGTCTACACTTTCCAGGTCGAATTCAATTCTCCAAGTGGTTGCTCTATATGTTCTGTTTCCTAGGTCTCTGAAAAGGGTGAACACGTTTTAGAGGAAACCAGAGACCATTCTCATGTCCTCATCATCTCATCTTGTTATTTAGAACTCAATAAGCCCATAATTGATAATATAAGGTTGAAAAATGCTAACTCATACCTGGGAACGTGAGCAAAAAACCAGTTTGTGGCGTAATCACTGGTTCCAACAGTGTAGACAAGATCATCGAAAGGATATAGATCTGTATAGCGCTTCCACAGGCCATATTCTCTAAACCTTCAAGTAAAAATTTCATAAAAGTAAAAGACTATGGTAGCAGTGTAATGGAGACGGTTGATCATAACTAGCAAAGCGAGAAAGTGACCATTATCTGTTTCCCGATGGATAGATAATGAGAATTTCATGGTATGGACGTATGGTATGTTCCCTAATATTACTGTCCTATAAAAATTCAATAAAATTACTCAAGGTTGGAGCTCAGTTATTTTGCCAAGAATTTTAATCAAGTTTGAACTTACTTGTTCTGTACATCATCTTCAAAATCATTAACTTTGAAAGTTGGACTAAGATTTGGGACATAAAACTCAGCTGCTGTGCGGTCAGCAACACCTATTTCCCAAAGCGTAGCTCCGTTTCTGGGAGGTTTGTACACTAATTTGCCCAACTCCACACTGGAACCTGAATTACGTTAATAGAAAGGTAACTTAATTAATTGCTAACTAGTATGAAGGATAACAAAAACAAGAACAAAAGTAGAGGTAGAACTACAAACCTGGTATAATGCTGATGTCAAATTCGTATTTGTAGTCCCCGATTCTTCCTGGGACTGTTGCATACAGATTATAAGTACCTTGTCTTACACTTTTAATAAAGAAGTTCCCATCGTTGTCAGCTTGGGTCCAGAATTGGTACCCCTGTACATGAAAGTAAATTTGGAAAGCAAAAATTAGAGAGTTAGTAGTCTTATTACCATTCACCATTACTAAATTTACTTCCTCCAAAGTGTTCCTACTTAATTGCATGACTACGAACATGCCAACCTTGTTTTCTCTTTGCCATGATCCTGCAGCACCTAGCGCTGCCAGTCCCACATATGCAAAAGATGCTGGAACAGGCCGTTTATCAATGAACCTAAAAAGACCTCATGAGCAGTGTTTTTTAATCTTTATGTTGGTTCATTTACCAGGACAAAACTAACCAATGTAGTGAAAGAAAATTACCAGTCATGAATGAATAATCTACCTCGAACGATTCCTCTTTCATCAGACTTCTCATAGTCTACTGAAGCAATGAAATCATATGGCCAGCTTGCAACTTCTTGATCCAACTGTACATCGTTACATACAGATGCATCAATGCATATTTCCAATGCGAAAGTAGCATGAGACATGGAAAGACAGTTAAAGACATATGTGTACGGCGTACCTTTCCCTTTGCGTCTTGCCAGAGTATAGAAGGGTCACTCTCCGCAGCCGTGTCTGAGTTGAGATATAAAAATACGGGGCCTAAAACCTTTTTCCATGGGTTTCCATCTTGAAAGTTGACATCAAGATCCTCCCCAGCATAATGCCTACTAACAAATGTCTGCAGTTCAGTTAAAAACAAGAGGGCAAAAGGATTCAAACAGCAAGGTCCATGTACTCTTATCATTGTTGTGTTACAAAGAAATGAGCTAAAAAATACTAGTATGTACTTACAGAAAGCGTGGTAGGGCCGACATGGGAAGTTAGCTCTTGCTTGAAAGGTCCACCAGTGCGGAACTCATTGCTTGGAGTGATCATCCAAAATCCTACCGGGGGAGCGGTGCATACCCATCCATGAACCTTAATGTCTTTGCTGTCGCTAGAGTAAAAGTACTTATCATCTACCTGGAAGTATATGAGGAAACATGAGGGAAAAATAACCAAATATACAGCCACCAAAATAGAAAATGGAGCTTTTCAATGATTATAGGTTAATTCAAAGTTAAATCATCATACACACGGATAACTAGTTAAGGGAAGGCAGCGCCCAGAGTCTAAGTTATCGTAATGTTGTGGCATAAACTACAGAGAGCTAGGCTATTCAGTGGGATAGAATGTATAGACAAACCTCTCCTCTAAGAGATGGAGAGCTTGGGTGTTTCAAGAGAACTGCCTCTGGATAATCAAGCGTCTCGCCGGTCAGCCGGTCCTCAGGGGTTGGCATGAACCTCTTCCTGTCATCCGAAACAGCCATGTAATGAAACCTGATTCGATCGTACATCCATAAAAGATCAAGCATTCGTTTTCATCATCAGCACATATGTCATTCTAGCATTACAACAAACAGGGACTGTGCAAGTATTTCGAAAGCATACATGTCCTGTCGCAGTTTGAATACAACCCTGTTTACTTCCATACGCACGCTTGGATATCCTTGTAAACGTTCAAGAATGGAGTATGTGTAGAAACCAGGAGAATAAGACAGCATCACAAATCTACAAAAAAAGTCAATTAGTACAAGAATAGCATTAGAAAACCAAATAAATTGCACAGAAAGAACTACTGTGCGGAGTTTTCTACAATGGTAGAAATTTGCAGAGTCGTCGTACCTTCTGTCAATATTTACGGGAGCTCCATTAATCCCAGAGGCATCCCACGCTCTTGTAAATGAAATCTCTACTGCATTTTCACTATTTGAGATTATTTTGAAACTGGTGCCTAGCAACCTGCAATGGTTGAATTGGGCGACATTCAAATACTCATGACAATGTCAAAACATAAAAGTGAACAACAGCGTTCATCAGGGTAAAGGATGCATCTGTACTTGTCCTGTTCTCCCTCGTTTCCTGCGCCATGCCAAATGGCATCCCAGTACCTGCAGTTACTTCAGAGTTCAGTACCTGGATTTGATAGTTTTTACTCCCTCCGTCCCAAAAACAACTTCCCAGTCAGTATTCATTGGTCAACTTGAATCACTCGTAATCTTTTACTTTTTATATCAAATTTTTATCAAATTTAAATTTTATTGATCAGGCTTTGTAACGGTTTTAATGTAGTTTCTAAATATGTAAATTTTATTTACTAAAAATAATCTGAGTGTGAGCAGGGATCGAGTTGCTTTATCGTCAGTCAAGCATCGTAAACCGAACGGGAAGTTAATTTTGGGACGGAGGTAGTATAAGTATTGTACGACTTTATTGAATTTTTATATATTAGTCCAGGTTTATTCTATTTTTTCACATATAGTTCCAATTCATTTAGTTTTTGTTGATTTAGTTTGATTTGATACCGTTCAATTAAACTGAACTAATTTCCTCACCCCTCTTTTTACAATTGACTCTTAAAAAAACAGGGTTACATGAATGAAAATAAAACACACTACTTTTCTCACCAATATGCTCACCCCTCTTTTTATTAAAGTGAACTAATATGCTCACTCCTCTTTTTAATTAAACTGAACTATTATGCTCACTCCTCCTTTTAGTTTGATTCCAATGAGATTTGTCCAATGATAAAGAAAATACTTTTCTCACTATTAAATGAGAAATAAGAGAATTAATAGATTAATGGCATGAGGATTAAGATATTAATAGATAAATGGCACCAGAATTAAGATATTATTACTAGATATTGTGTGGTGGAAAGTTGTCCATAAGAGAAAGAAATGTGTAGAAATGTGTAAAAAGTGTTGTGAAACACAAATTATTTGTCAAACATAAAAAAGGTGATAATTTTGGGATGAACAAAAAATAAAGTTTAAAAATAATTATGGGACAACGGAAGTAAACACAGTAGAATAATGTAGGATTTAAAATAGAAACCGTAGAAAAGAGAAATTAAAAATGGAAAAATAACATTAAAAAAGTAAGGAAAAATTTACTCAAAAGAAATGGAACAAATATTAATAAACTTTCTTCAAAAGCAACTTAAAAGTAATGTAAGAAGGGATTGAGTGTTACTTTGCAATGAGTAGGAGTGTAGGACTCGATTGCCTCCATTCTAAATTAAACTTTATTATCATCATTATATTGCGTTATCTGAAGATATCATTTGTAGGGAGTGTAATATACTTCCTCCACCGTCTCAATATAATCTTTCATATTGATTTTGTAAATGATTTACAAAAGTAACAACGGTATGTTTGAGAATTGTGTAAAAAAGAAAGGAGAAATAAATGTTGTGAATATGACTAATGAATAATATGGGATAGAAGCACTTTGGTCTAAATTCATTTCTATACATCGTGAACGAAAGCAGCTAAAATCACATACATACCCTCTGTCGTTTTCTGCGTTCTTCGTTTCCAGCAAATTGGGAACGCCTTGGTACGAAATTCCCGTCACAAGACCATCTGGAATTGACAGAGTCACACTCAGAATGTCGTTGCTCATCACTGCCTGAAAAAGGTAATTCCAAATGAGACGCCAACCGTTCAAAGAATAGAGCTGCTCACTCTCGTGGACGGTCCCGATGGCTCAAAACATTTGATCTGATCTGGACCCCGTACGTCCTCTCCCCCCAGTAATAATAAATCAAAAGAGAATTTATCGGACAATCAAATCAATGATTTATCTGACTACGTACGTGTTTTTCCTGTATGTCCAAATGTACCCCTGCTTCCATCCTGTGGTGTCAGATCAAAAGGACATACCGGTCACGGTTTATTGGTACATTCACAGAAAAATTAGAAGAAGAAAAAAGGGTAAATAAAATATACCCAACCAACCAGTAAGAAACATACCTCTGCTCAGCGTCAGCCGCCGCCAGAGCCGGCGGCGGCGGCAAGAAGAATAGCAGGACAACTAACATGTCGAGAACAAACCTCCACTGCACTACACACCCCATAGCTTCTGCGCTGTTGGAATTCTATTTCCAAATCGAACGATCGGAGTTATAATAATAATACGGAGTAATATATACGGATTATTTAATTTGCCATACTTTCTGTGAATGATAAGTCAATGATTTTGCGAGTCAGACAAAATGAAGTGAGTAGTGATGGCGTTGTCATTGGGATCGGCAGAACTGTCGGTGGGGCGTCATGATTTTCTCCTTCACTTAATCTATCCTTAAAAGACCCTGTTTTTCAAAATTGTCGCTGCCTATAATTTACCTAACACAACTTGAAAACTAGTCCCTTAGCCTTTTTTGGGTTTCATGTGTCAAAAGATATACGAGACTGTGAATCGTGTGTTTAAAAAATGTGTTATATGCTCTTCTATTGTAATTAATCATCCATATAATACTTTATATGTACTATCAACCCATTTAGAAATTTGAAAACCATATACCGGAGTAAACGGAGTATGATTAAGGTGATGTTTCCATCCCATTTATAATTGTTTTTTGCTTTTTCAGAGCGGACATTCAAGTGTTTGGGTGAAAGCACTTTGTAAAAATGTGTGGACTATAAATTCTTTGCCCTGCCAAGAAAATGAAAGATAAAAATATTTTAGTATGAACTAAAAAAGAAAGTTGGAAGATAATTCAAGAACATAGGTAGTACATACGCTCTTATTTGAAGAAGACTCATATGTGCATATATATATATATATATATATATATATAGGAAAATCTCCCGGTAAGGTATACCTTAGCTTACCAGAAGAGTTCCCATATATATATATATATACACACACACACACACAGAAATGCTCAGGTCCATCCGGAGGGACGAGAGGCTCCGTCCGAACTTTACTGTTTGAGACGGTTCCCGGTGGAATTTTTTGATGAAATTTTTTGAGCATGTTCCTCATCAAGTCTAGTTTATCCATACCAAATTTCAGCTCAAAATTCGATCGAGAAGGCATTCAAATAATTTCTTGAAACTTACTGCACATTATATGTGCGCAGAATGTGCAGTATGTTTCAAGAATTTATTTGACTGCCTTCCCGGTTGAATTTTGAGCTGAAATTTGGTATAGATAAACTAGACTTGATGAGGAACATGCTCAAAAAATTTCATCAAAAAATTCCACCGGGAACCACCCCAAACAGTAAAGTTCGGACGGCACTTCTCGTCCCTCCGGATGGACCTGATCATTCATATATATATATATATATATATATATATATATATATATATATGTATATGTATATGTATATTGTATATGTATGTAACATACCCGGTTGGAATGGAAGGTATGTAAAGACCAAAGAGCCAAAGGGGTGCTTGGATGGTGGAAAAATTCGATGATGCAAGAGGAAGTGGCCGGCCTGGATCAAGCTAGAGCTACAAAGCTAAGGGATAATATTATATTCCTTTCGGGCCCTTTAAGCTTCCCCGTTGTTACGGCTACGGAAAGTAGATTTGGACATAGGAAACAACACGTTAGGGAGCCTTAGGCTTTTTAACTTCGTTGCCCTGCCCGGGAGATTGAGGATCCAGAGCTAGCTAGCTAGTGGGAAAAGCTAAGCTAAGGAATAATGTTTTTTATTTTATTAATCAATCCATTTATTCCATCATTCTTATACTAGAAAAAACAAACTACTACTCCACATCTCTGATTTGTCAATAATGGAATACTAAAATATTATTCATTGGTGGTAATATGTGAAAACTTTATAACTAAGATTTTTAATTTTGATAGAAAAAGTACGACTATGACGCACGTTATATTATTCTTTCTTACAAAAAAGGCAATTAATCACTTTAACATGGATGGTGTATAATTTATCATCATCATTTTCGGTACCATCATCTACAATACACAAATACGAGTACAATAACTAGTACACCTTTATTCCTTTTCCTCGTCAATCCACCAACCATGTTTTTAGCTAGAGCCCAAAATTCTGCGACCAATTAAGGGTTTAGACTCTGTATAGATTGAGCCATCCAGTGATTGGATCAAATTCTAACATTCGATATGTAATGAAAACGGAGTGTATGACAAAAATACACCTACAGTACCAAATCGAATGGGTTGTCACGACTTGAATCGATTTTCCTTGCAGAACCTTGAGAACCTCTTGCAGCTGCAGCCAGAATGGTGATCTTTCCTAGTGCAATTGTTTGTGCCCTTTTTCTTCTCCCGTCTTTCTAGGGTTCGACTGATTTTATTGGCACGATTTTTGTTAGTTTTGAGATGGAACTAATTATTGAATACATCAATGCACACATTGCAATTGGCTAGAATGCTAATTTATTTGGAAGTATATGGTAGATAATATGAGGAAAATCATTTAAATTTCTCAGTCCTAAATATTGAAGAAGGTGAGGCACCCTAATTAAAAATAAATAATTTCAATATGTTTTTAAAATTTTAACTTAGCATCAGGATCATATGTTTTTTCTTTAATTTTACATATGTAAATTTATAGTGTTAAATAAATAATTTCAATATTTTAAGCATTTTTGAATGTGCAATTAACATTATGCTAGAAAGCATGCGGCTAGTACGGAAAATTGATTGGGAAAAATCATACTGCTAATTACATTTAAGTTGAGCCCTTAGCCCAGTTAATAATATACAAATAAATACAAATAATGGGCTTAGCCCGTAGACGGTCTAACACCCCCCTCAAGTTGGAGCATGAGGTTCAAAAATGCCCAACTTGTCAAGTAAATAGGAGAACTGACGTTTGCCCAACGCCTTAGTGAAAATATCAGCGAGCTTATCCGTGGTAGAAACATGACGAGCAATGAGTAACCCACTCTGAACCGCATCCCGAACGTAATGACAGTCAACTTCAATATGCTTTGTACGCTCATGAAAGACCGGATTTTGTGAGTTATGTAGAGCAGAACGATTGTCACAAAAGAATGACATGGAAGCTGTATGATCAACACCCAGAGCCAAAAGCAGGCCTTTAGTCCATGTGAGTTCTGTCGTGGTGGCGGCCATGGAACGATATTCAGCCTCAGTGGAGGACCAGGAGATGGTATGCTGTTTCTTGGTCTTCCATGAAATAGGAGACTGCCCCAAAAAAATAATCCAGCCAGTAAGAGAACGACGAGTGAGCGGACAACTAGCCCAATCAGAGTTACACCAACCTGTAAGAGTGAGGTTACAGGAGGAACTAAGAAGTATTCCTTGGCCCGGAGTACCTTTGAGATAACGAACAACACGCAAAGCTGCTGACGAATGATCCTGTCGCGGAGCCTGCATAAACTGAGACAAAATGTGAACAGAATAAGCGAGGTCCGGCCGAGTAAAGGACAGATAGATCAAACGACCAATAAGTCGTCTATAGGATTCCGGATCAGCTAAAAATTCGCTCTGAGAGAAAGCTAAAGTGTGATTTTGCTCCATAGGAAATACCGCAGGTTTGGCGCCAAGAAGACCCGATTCAGAAATAATATCCAGAGTATATTTTCTCTGGCAGAGAAAAATACCATCAACACTACTAGCCACCTCGATCCCAAGAAAATATTTAAGAATTCCAAGATCCTTCATGAGAAAGCACTTATTCAGATAAGATTTGAACTGAAATATAGCAGATGAATTATTGCCGGCAACAATTAAATCATCAACATAAATAAGAACAAATAGATGATCCGCTCCCTTGTGCAGAGTAAAGAGCGAGTAATCGGAATAGGACTGAATAAAACCATAATGCTTCAAAGAAGCTGCTAATTTAGCAAACCAACATCGAGGAGCTTGGCCCAAGCCATACAGTGATTTTTTCAAACAGCAAACCTGATCAGGCCGAGAAAAATGAAATCCAGGAGGGGGCTTCATATAGACTGTAACACCGTCCCCAAATGTATTTACTTTTAAGAGTATAATGTATTGAACTTTATGGAATGGTTAATGAATATACGAAGTGGTGAATTTTTAATATTTCTTTTGCGTGAATAATAAATTCGCACGTGGGACCCACACCGGGAGCGGGGCCGCCCGATATTCCCGGGACCGTATATTTTATTCACCGTGGTCGAAATAATATTTATATAGAGGTTGTTAATTTATTTGTCCCAAAGAAATGATAATGTGGACCGATTGGTCAAAAGCGGCCCAATTAACAGTATTGGTAATTTAACAGACAACAGCCCGAAATGAATTTCGAGGGATTATAAATTAAGGTTGGGGAATGTATATTCATTATAAGGGTCATAATGATTAAGAATGCATGATATATTTTATTTGACCCGATAAAATAAAATATATCTAAAACAGTCCGAAAAATACAACTTTCGGGACCGATTGTACACTTCTGGACAAAAAGGGTTGACCTCCCACATGTGTGGGGGCCAACCCACGAATTTGGTCACCCAAATTTAGATAGTTGGCCGGTTGAAGTGATGAAGGAACATGGGAGAGAGGGTGATATGAGTGAAATGGAATCAAACAAATAAAAATAAAGTGGGCCTCTCCCCACACCACTCATTCTATTGAGACAAAAGAAGGCACCCACCTCCTTCCATCCTCATCATTCGGCCATAGTCTCAAGAGAGGGAGGAGATCCCAGAAAAAATAACACCTTCCATAGCCAAGGACAAGCAAGCTCAAGGAGGTCTAAGGGAAAGGTTTTCGGGAGGAAAAACTAGGTGGTTTAAGGTAAGGACCTTATAATAACTTTTCCTCTATTCTTTAATTATCATATGATTTACATGTCATATGAAGAACCCCTAGGATGGTTCTACATGTTATGAGTGTGGAATAATGGGTTGGAAGGTGGTTCTATGTCCAAAAACGGACATAGAAGTCAAAATGACCGGTTTACCAGAAAATAACCTTTTAGAGGTTATTTTTATTGATTAAGGTTTTATGATGTTAAAACCTTGATAGGAACTTGATTAAAGTATTTTTGAGCTTCGCCGGAGTTTTGCCGGAGTTGGTCAAAGTTCGCCGGAATTGGTCAAAGTTCGCCGGGATTAGTCAAAGTTCAATCGGGGAGCGTAGAACGCGCGTGAACTCACTTAAGGTGAGGATGACCGACTATATTGCTTATAATCTTTGGGTTAATTTCATGAGATTCCCTAAATGAATACACAATGTGATTTGCATGGATTATTAATGGTTAATAATGCCTAAATGAAATTACTATTGATTATAAGTATAGGTTGCATAATATACAAATTTATTGAATAAATTGTGTATGTCTAAATGTTATGAATATGATGGCATGATGGTAGTATCAACCATAAAATCCCATTTGTGATAAGTATACTTTTATTTCATGAAAAGAAGACATGAAGGAATAAAAGTGATATTTTGATACTGAGGCCAAATTTCATATTTAATGAAGAATTACATTGAAATGAGTAAATAACTAGTATTGAAATATTAGTTGGATTTGTAGTTGAATAATGGATGAATGGATCCTAAGAAATTGAATTGTAAAGAATCGATGATTATTGAGCTGGGCTCTAGACCGATGTAGATAACGGTGATTATTGAGCTGGGCTCTAGACCGTATTAGTTATCGGTGATTATTGAGCTGGGCTCTAGACCGATGTAGATAACGGTGATTATTGAGCTGGGCTCTAGACCGTAGTAGTTATCGGTGATTATTGAGCTGGGCTCTAGACCGATGTAGATGACGGTGATTATTGAGCTGGGCTCTAGACCGTAGTAGGTAACGGTGATTATTGAGCTGGGCTCTAGACCGTGGTAAGAAATGATGAATTTACACTAAACGAATAAAGTTAACCTTGATACAATAACACCCTAGATTGAGGGTCTTGGAAATTGAAACTTTGATTATACTTAGTATAGTTGTCATTGTACTTGTCAAATGCTTCCAAGTACTGACCTCCCCTTCACGGGGGAGGCCACCTCACAGTTTCAGGTAGAACTTGAAGGTTGCTACCACCGCCGTTGTTTTCGGGAGAATCCAGGAGAGGAGACGTGGTTCGTGCTTCCTCCGTTTCCATTTTACAAACTATTTTAATTAATGCTCATGGATATTATATTTTAAAATACTTATTTGGGGGCTTGTATGCCCATGTTTGCCAAGGTGTGGCATGAATACTCGTATTGAATGTTTCCGCTGCTATGAATGAATATTTTACATTATGTTTGTTTATGGATGTACTATGTGTGAATGATATTCCAGACGCCTTGTATAGTATGGATGTGTTGGACTGCGGTTGACTATTCGTACTGTACGGCGGATTGTTGACGTGTCCGGTTAGGTCCGGGGCGTGACATAGACTTCCTCATCTATATCCCCATGAAGAAAGGCATTATGCACATCCATCTGATGTAATTCCCAGTTTTTAACAGCAGCAACGGCTAAGAACATACGAACAGTAACCATTTTGGCTACTGGAGCAAAGGTCTCAGTATAATCTATCCCTTCTTGTTGATGATTGCCAAAAACATCCAGACGAGCCTTGAGGCGTTCAATGGTGCCATCAGAATGATATTTTATTTTATATACCCATTTGCAACCAAGAGCCTTTTTACCTGACGAAAGCGATTCCACAACCCAAGTATGATTATTCTCAAGGGCCTGAATCTCACGCTGCAT